CGGCCTCGCCGAGATCCTCGTGCTCGTGGGCGGCTGCGACCAGGACTGCGACGAGCTGGTCACCGTCGACTGCTACAACCCGCAGACGGGCCAGTGGCGCTACCTGGCCGAGTTCCCCGACCACCTGGGCGGGGGCTACAGCATCGTCGCGCTGGGCAATGACATCTACGTGACGGGTGAGTGGCCCGGGCCGGGGAGTCGGGGCTCTCTGGGGTTGGCCTCCTGCGCCGCTGGGGGAGTCCGCTTACCCGCCGGAGGCACGCCCAGAACCGGGAACCCGCGGGCCACACCTGAGTCTAAGCTGGGGAACAGGTAAACACGTTTCTCGGTTGCTACTTTCAGCCTTGAAAAGGGGCCTCTTAGCCGGGCTCGGTGGCTCAGCCTGTAATCCCGCGCTTTGGGAGGCTGAGGTGAGTGGATTGCCTGAGTCCGCGGGCTCGAGACCCGCCTGGGCAACTCTACAGTAAATCAAAAAATGAGCCGGGCGTGGTTAGCGCGCCTGTAGTTCCAGCTACTCGGAAGGCTGAGGCGGAAGGATCGCCGGGGCCCAGCAGGTCGAGGCTGCGGTGGCCGGGAGCGGCCACTGCACTCCAGTCTGGGCGACAGAGTGAGACTCCAACTCAAAAAAAAAGAAAAAGGGCCTCTTGTGTGAGCGGGGACAAGTAACTGCTTGTGGGTGTCTGTGCCTATGCGGCTGGGCCAGCCAGGCCGAGCCAATTCCATGCCCGGGAGGTGCCCTCCTCATTTGATGGGAAGATACTGGGGCATTCACCCGCACAATGGGTGCTTTCTTTCTCTCCTTAAGAAATCCAGGGACGGGCAGAAGACTGACGCCCGGTGAGGCATCCATTCTCCCCCAGCCCGCGGAATTCACCCTCCCATCTGAGCCTCACGGGGCCTCCTGACTCACTCTCTTTGTCACTGGTGACGGGGTTCCCCTCAGGCTTGCACCTAGGCAGTGTGCTGTGGTCACATGGTATTTAGGCTGAGCTCTGCCAGCGACTGTAAACATGGTCACATGTTAAGTAAGAGGTTTTCTTCCAGTTACTTGGCCCAAGCCCCAAAACACTGCCGAGTCATGGTGGGCGGGTCCCAACCTGCCCCGCACTGAGGCTTCTCCCACATTTTTTATTAAAGATAAATCCCCTTTCAAACACAAGGCTGCCTCCTTCTGGGGTTGAGGAGGGCGGTCTCTGGACTGCTATATAAGGAAAGAACCGACCAGGCAGGCAGGCATCCGAGGCTGTTATCAGGCAAGAAGCTCCGGGCTGGGATATCACAGCCGCTGTGCCCAGCCTGGGAGAAAGCCTGCTCTGGGACGTGCTCCGAGTTCCAGTGGGGCTCTGAGCTGACAAGTGGGGCACATTCCAGCCCAGGGACATCCTCTGCTGTGGCCACTGCTTCTGTGGTCTGCAGTTCTGGGACCAGCCTTTGCTGGAATCTGTCCCTCTTTCCAGTCTGAGGCTGTCCCCATGTTGGTTGGGGACCGTGTCCCTTTCCCCCTGTCTCAAGCCTTGTCAGTGGCTTTGAGCAGAGACCTCCCTCACAGAACTGGCCAGACTGCCCCAGCTTTCTGCACACCCTTCCACAAATGTCACAGCTGAGGAGTTAATCCCTTGGGTTTAGGCAGGTGGCTGGGCCATTCCATTCAGCTGCCCATGGGGAATTTCATGGGGGCGAGAATGCCGGCTTCAGCTGCCTTTCACACAGCCCTGTGAGAGGCCGGCAGAGCACACTTGATGTCTTCTTCCTCTAGGAGCTCAGGGCTGTGAGACAGAATGTCCTGTCTGCTCTGCCCTGTGACATCAGCCTTGGAGGCCAAGGGGTGCAGCTCCCAGGATTCTTGGGGTCCCATCAGGCTGTGGGGGTTCTAACAGGCTTTAATGGATGTGGTTTAACTTTTTGTTTGTTTGTTTTTGAGTTGGAGTCTCACTCGGTCGCCCAGACTGGAGTGCAGTG